GTATCTTTATTAAACAAAAAAAAAAAAAAAAATAATAATAATGCAATAAAGCTGTAAGGGTAATTTACTAATATTAGATTTATAAATACACTTCCAATCGGATATGATGGGGATCGTATAGTCGGTCTTTTGTGGCCAAACCGGTTATTCTCTTATGAAGCTTTTGGGTGAAATCGCATTTTTTTATCTAGCTGTCTTATATATTCGATTTAAATTGACAAGATATCTCCCTTTTAATTGCATGTGCTAGAAAGAGACAACACATATGTCTAGTTTTCTACAAAAGAGCTGTTAAGGCTAGGCTAACAATGCATTGCAATGCAGTGGTGGCAATGTTAACAGAATAGTTTTAGCCTGCTGCAATATTTATATAGATATTTTTATTTTATTCACTATATAAATATTCTTCATCAAGAAACAAGAGTAGACATCGCATTCTATCAAACTTTTATTGAGTGTAAGTTTTCCGAGAACTTCAAAGTTTTATGTTTCGCATGCAAATATAATAAACAACATGCTTATAACTCTATGAACGCCCCACCTGTATTCACAATAGTTGGACAGTGGCAAAAACACCAAGGACCGACAGCAAACACAAAGACACACACGCACACAGAGAGACAGGGAGAGAAAGAGAGAGACGGAGTCGCACACACACACATACACACACATAAACACTGTTGCCCTGTCACTCATTTATTCAGTCAAACTGTCAATGCTACAACTAGTTTCAATCTTTGTATTTTGCGCTTTCGCCTGCAATTGGCAGGCGGAGCAGCATTACATTTGCTTGATTGAACCTGTGCCCTGCCACTGCCCTAACTAACTTGCCCAGCTACGTTTTCCGATTTCCTTTCCAGTAAGTGCTGTAAGTGTGTGTGTGTGTGTGTGTGTGTCTGTGTCGATGTGTGCGTGATTGTGCATTGGCATTTCTGTGTGCGCCACGCTGACAGCAGTCGAAAAGCTTGGCAAACGCTTGGACTGAACTTGGCCAAAAACCAGAAACCAGTGGCAAAGCCAGTTTGTTACCTCAGTGGGTGAGATATGTTGTTAAATGCATAAACAGTCAACCCTGACCTAAATTCGATGCAGAGCAAGAGGGAGTCCGAAATGCCAGCACAGGCATAGCCAACAGTATTTTCATAGCATACTTTATAGCGCATACAATTTAAATTGCACTTTTCATCAGCAGCAGCAGCAGCAGCAGCAAACGAAAAGTAAACTTGAAAAATATATGTCTAGTTTTCCTCTTTTTTCTGTTCTTGCATGTTTATTTGCCGCTTCTCAACTCATAGCTTAATCCGCCAACTAGAAACAACGACACAGAGCAACGAATGGCAACTAAACGAAAGACAAACTTTCTATACCCTTACAAAATATTAGCTTGCTTGACATTAGCAGACCATTTGTGACTCACGATTGACTTCAGATGGATTTAAAAAAATATTTTTAAATATTTTTTTATACAGTTTAATGTTCTGTTACCTTTTAGGATTACAGAAGTGCAGCAATGCCGATGTAAAAGGAAGAAGAAATAGATTATGAACATCTTATAATTTGGTCTAGCATTGTATTATGTATATACTATTATTAATTATGTAAATTATCCATGAACAGACATGAATTATGAATGAAAGTATAGTAAATGCACGTTTCGTATGACTTGGGCTACTCTAAGAACACAGAAATGTGCTATGTATAATTTAATATTATTTATTATTCTTATATCAGACGAGGAATTTCATCTTCTATTTTCAAAGTGTCTACATGTTCGGTGTTTAGCTAGATTTTTGCTCTTTTGCCTTTGGCTCTCACGATTTTCAGTTGCATTTATATGGCCCATACATCTCAATTTGTGCGACTTGCGAATTGGGTTACTGTTTGGTGTCTGGGCCCGAGCAATAGACTCTGACAGTGTGACTTTAAGAGCTCAGAGCGTGGCCTGCGAAGCGCGGGCGGGGCTGAGTTTGCTTAGCTGAAATTTCAGTGACTGTCAGTCAGTAGTGTTTCTGTTGTTCTTTCAGAGCATATCAATTAAGTTGGCATTGGCTTCCGGCTGTAGAAGGAGAGCCAGCTTATCATTTGCATGGAAATTACCCTAACAACACACACACACACAAGCCATTTGATCCCAACTGGGTTGGCGACCAACTTTATAACTTTAAACAAAATCACAGCATGGAAAAACAATGTGAAACGCATAAAAACTGAAAGAGTTGAGCAATTTCTTCTTTTCCCATATTTTTTTCTTTCGCTAGAGACAAAAAGAAAAAAAAAAAAAAAAAAACCCAAAGTTTTGCTCTTTTAAATTCATTTAAACGCTTTTAGCACTTTTCACGCCAACCAACCAGGATGTCTCCTGCTCGTCTGGAGCTTTATGGATGGCCCAGAGTCGACAATCGCCTCCCCTCTTGGCCACATCATCGCCTACCCATACAGAAACAAAGTTTCGTTTTGGTTTCGGTACAGTAAAAAAAAATATATATATATACATATATATGTGTCTGGCTTCGTTCGTTGGTGATGGAAAATAATAGCAAAGTTTTTCAACGCACAGAACGAAACTAATAGAATAATACGACTGTGCCGAGGCAGACTAACTGCCGTTGACAATGTTCTCTAGAAAGTGGAAATTAGGACTTGTAAAGCATGTTATTTGATTTCTTATTTGGGCTAATCAATTACTATCGCTTAGTTGTATTTGTGTTTATTTTACCGAATTTTTTCATTGATTGACGAAACGACTTTAAAGACAGCAGGTCCTGTGATAGGGACTGATCAAGGAGTAAAATGTGGGTAATGTCTCAAAGTAATCATAGACAACTAAACTATGTGGGTATAGGTGTTTTCTGTTAGAGAAAATTCATTTGATTATCGCCTTGATTCTTTTAATTGGCTACATCCATATTCCTGCTATCTCTCTTGTTCTATCTCTATTAAGCAATGAACCTAAAATCCGTCAGAGTTCTTGAAATTTAAAATTTAACTGGTTGCCCAGCACTTTCCGCTCAAGTTGACTCGGCTTGGCCTTTGTTGTTGACCAAAGAGTCTCTGCGTTTAAATCCCCTGCAGCGCATTCATCCGCATGCGTAGAGCATGCCAATTGTGCAATTGTTGGAAAATTTCTTTTGCTAAAAACTTGTACGTTGTGACTTTTTTTCAGCTTTATTTCTTTGTTTTTCTCTTGTTGTTGTTGTTGTTGGTCTTCTACTTGTTATTTTGTTGCTGGTCGTTTCTCACTTTTTACGCCCGTAAGTTTTGTGTGTTGCGGCTGCCAGGCTTCCCATCCGGCGGGCTCTGGGCTGCTGTCTTAATAGGTGTTGGCAATCATGAAGTTGCTTGCGGCAGCAGTACGCGAATCGGGCCAACAACTAGCAAAGTTTTATTTTATTTTATTTTATATTTTTTACAGTGTGTGTGAGTGTGTGTATTTAGCCATTAGTCGCTTTGATCAAATATTTAAAGCTAATGAACAAGATGGGCACACTGCCAACTTGCAATAAACGAAAAGAATCAAATGGAAAATAAAAGACGAAATGAAACGCAACTGCAACTAAACTTGTTTGCCATCCGCAATGATTTAAAGCCGGCAAAGAAAATAG